TGACTAACATAGAATAATCTTAAACAATAGAGTTTCTATACTTAAATGTTACCATGTTCACAGTGCAAAATACAGCATTCAATTCTATATCAAGTATCAAGAAATAATTAGTTTATCCACTAATTACCAAAGTGCTTACTGTATTAATCTCTATAAAAATATTCATGTCTGCAATATACTAAAAACGGACATGCTCCCAAAATTTTTATACATATTTAAGCCAATTCCAATGAAAATTGTGACTTGTGAAGTATTCACCACATAACTTACACCCATAAGTTTTATCATGACTATGAATTGTTTTATGTTTCTAAATTGCACTCACATAAGGAAAGGCTTCCCCACATTGCTTACACACATAGGTTTCTCTCAATGTGGGTTCCTTGATGTACTAGAAGTGTGCTCCTACGACTGAAGGACTTTGCACAGTACTTACACATGTGAAGTGTACCCTTAGTATGAATTCTTTCAAGTGCTTGAAGGGAATTAGAATATTTGAAAGTTTTTCCACAGTCCTCACATACATAGAGTTTCTCTTCAGAGTGAGTTACTTCATGTCTGCACAAATGAGTGACAGTAGAAAATGGTTTCTTACAGTGTTCAAATATATAGTGTGGTTTTCTACATTTCTTTCATGATGTACAAGGGAATAATGAAAAGAGTAGCATTTACCACACTGCTGACATACAAATGATCTACTTCTAAAATGAGTATATATATGCATTTGAAATATCTGCAAAGTATCAAAAGGTTTCCCACATTGCTTACATGCATTTGGTGTCTTTCCACTGTGAAGCATTTCATCATTTTCATGTGGTTTTAGTCGAGGAAGTGTTTTCTTCTTTATAGGATCTGGAATCTGGCTTATCATTTTATCACACTGTGCACTTTATGTCCATTGAGTCTCTTTTAATACTCTATTTCTACAAAAAATGGAAAACAGTATTAAGGTTCAAGTTATTAATGACAAGATAACTATTTGACTTATGCACTATACAAACACAGTATTAAGGTTCAAGTTACTAGTTACAAGACAACTGGTTGCCTTATGCACTATACAAACTTTAGATAGGACTCTACCTCATAACCATCCTAATAGCTAGCTAAGGTTATTAGCATATGCCACCATGATGGTGCCATACAGTACACTGAAATCTTTTCAGTATTCCTTAGGAAAACCAGAGTCAAATCTATTTTGTACTTAGTATCTGCATATATAAATATGTACACTATCTCCAGGATACCAGTCTAAAAACAAAATTTATGACTGTTTCACATGTAACTTACAGAAACACATAATAGCCATGCCCCACTTTTTTTTTTTCTTTTTTGGCTTTTCTGAGACAGGCTTTTGTTATATAGAACAGGCTGGGCTTGAACTCATTTTGCAGGCTGGAATGTCCACATTTAAAGCTATCTGCATGAAAAGTCTGCATGCAGTGGACCATAAGAAAGTCAACTGTGGCATCAAATCCTTGTTCCACTGAAAAACTGTGGATTTCAGATTTTTCTGACTATGTGCACCTACTCTGTATGATATTTTCAAGAAAATGTTTTCAGATTAAATCAAATGTAAACTGCTTATTTCTTTACATTGCTCAAATTTCAAATTTTCTGTCTCTTGACAGAGATAGTCTGTGAGAAGTAATTACCTCACATTTATCTAGTTACCTTCATTATTCTCAGCAGCTTGAAATTTCCCTAAAGTGTAGACACATAAAAAACAATTATGAACTATTGTAACACTCTGGAAAATAATATTTTATTTTGATTTACATATATTACAGTGCTTCATTTGCTCATCAAATTTTCCTTCCATGCTCTAAATAATGGCACAGCACTGGTGATCAAGAACCACTTGTCTCTCACTATGGGAAAGAACGATGCCACCTTACCTAGATAGTCCAGATCCCTGATGCTCTGCTGCATCCCATTTCAGTGGAGCCTCTGTGGTGCAGGACCCAGCAAAGCCCACTCCTCTAAGGTGAAGTGCAAAGCCACATACTTAAGGGTCAGGGACTCCTGAAACATTCCACCAGTTTCCAGGAGACAGGTTGGAGATACATCACTGGACTTTAGACCCTGAGAAACTCACATGATCCTGTGTCCTTCAAATATTTACTACATGTCTTAGTGGTCACTTCTGCTCTCCATCCATACTCACACAGTGCTGTCCTAACACAGTGCTGTCATATAGAATCAGAAATACTCTGTAAAAAACACAGGAGCACACTCAATAAGGCTAAATAGAGGAGGAGCACTGGGGAGCTACTCAGAGAAATATAAACTAAAAATACAGATAATTGGAAGAAACAGAGGAACACACATTACGATGCCAAAATCAATCTGAAAAAAGAGATCTGTAACACGACACACAGACATGGGAATTTGGAAAATAGTGACTCAGGCAATAGGGCTGCTGGCAGCATTGCCAACTGCATGCAGAACAAGAATCACCACACCAGGAATTACCCAAGAAAGGGATGGACTGCAGAAGTACAGCTCACTCAAGTGAAACAGAACAGATTTGGGACGTGAGGACTTTTGCTGTCCTCCACACAGAGTATGTGGCAGCACCGCTCCCTCCTCAACTGGCTGTCAGTTTGCTTTGTTTCTTGTTTTGTCCTGAGCACTAGTGGAAAACTGGAAGCCATGTTGACAATAAGGGTAGGATCACAGCAGAAGTGGTGCAAGCATGACCCTAACCTTCTCTGCAAACTGTGGCTTGGGAGAATTTAATCAGCATTGCACCACAGCATAGCAACAAGTGGGAGGCTGGTGCTCTGCCTGTGGGATAAAAGACACTGAGCAGCCTTGGGCTCTCTCCACAGTGGCAGCAGGAGAAGAGTTGCCCATGGTGGCCCACCTCACCCTAACATAATCCAAGTGTGTAAGAAGCAACAAAAGACACTTGAGAGAACAGAGGAAGGTATGAAGGACTAGGAGGAGCCAGGTGCACATGGGACAGGAGTGGATATCCTCAAGCTGTCCCTGTCTGCGGATGCCACAGCAACTCAGAGAGCAACACACAGGTACAGAGCAGGTGGCTGCAGAGGGAAGACAGCATCTAGATGAGGGGGTTCAGGCCTCCCTTTCCAATGGGAATGAGAACATCACCTCTAGAGGATCCCACTTTCCAAAGAATTCCAAAAGGTGCTGAAGCACCTGAAAATTATGGTCCCCGCCGCTAGGATAGAGAGCGAAGTTATTTAAAAATATTGCAGGCAGACAGGGCTGAGCCTTGAAAGGTCAGTGCAGAAGACAACCTGGCTGCAGCTGCATTCACAGGAGACCAGGCTACAACAAAAGAGGCATGGCTACACCCAGGCACTTCCCAGGGGAAGAGCAGCAGTGACTGATACTCTTAACAGGCCTCAGTTACCTTGTGTGGGAGGCCACACCTCCTAGGCCTACCACTCCAGGAATGTCCTTGTCTGGACCAAGAATGCTTGCTGCGTGTCCTGCTTCTCCACTGAACCAGGAGTGCCCAGAGCACTGATCTTGTGATGTTACTGACCAGTTTTATCTCCCTTGCACCCATCCTAGGATTTCCCTGTGCTGCACCCTATCTCCCTGGACTGTGCTCTGTTCCCTGAGTCTAAACACAACAAGTCACCTGTCAGGCCACCTTCTCCACAGCTGTGTGACAGGATACATGCCAGTGAGTGGCTTGGGAAGAGGCAACCTGGCATAGTTTATTTACAAGGAGACGACGAAAGTCTACAGTGGAGAACCACTCACCGCAAGACCTTAGACTCTAGCAAAAGCTGCTACCTGTACCCCAAGAGCGATGCACCCAGACAGAAAGCCATGAGGCTTCCTTCTCCTACCACTTTCTCCCCTTTCTACAAAGAGGACACCTTTTCCAGGCTGGCATTGCCTCAACTGGTGGGTAACAAAGGCTTCTCCTGACTGGCACGTCGCTGAGATAATTTTCATCCACAGACACTCAGTTAAAGAGACTTCCAATACTGTACTGCAAGCAAGCAAGCAAGCAAGCAAGCGCTATGCAACTGTACCACAAAGGCTGGCTACCACAGACAACCTGGGGACTCCCTCTACCCTAGGTTAACCCCTCAACCCAGACCTCCTTTATTGGAACACCCCACAAAGCTCCCCATTCAGATTTACAACCAACAGTTTCATCTCCCAGGGCTCCCAGGTTCCCCAGGCGAACTTAACCCTAACACTAACCCTAACTCAGGGACACCTTGAGCAGCTTAGATAGGGTCAGGCCTCCTGGCAGGCGCTCAGGAGGTTCGGGTGTCCCCTTGGGAGTAAGAGGAAGGGAACCTAGCGGCAGGCCAGGAGTTTTGGAGACCAGAAACAGGAAGGAACCACTTGGCACACCGCTGCCAAGTCCTGGGGTCTGGACCTGGCAAGCAGCTGACGTCCAATCTGAGGCCTTCACCAGGAGCTGCCAGGTGGCTCCTGGCCAGTCACCCAAAGAATCAGGACACTGCCCTCACTCTGGTCATCCAGCTTGTAGTGGTTTTGTACCCTTTCTCCTAAAAACAAACAAACAAACAAACAAAAAAACAAACAAACAAACAAAAAAACACTTGCTTTCCCTTTGCACCGCTTGGGACTTCCTATCTACTCCTTTTGTTTTGTTTTCCTGGGTTTTTTTGGCCTGGAACTCGGGTTGATCCTCAGGCCTCAGCAACTGCTAGGCTGCAATTATGCCCACTGAGTCCGCCCACCTTCATGCTTCTAGGCGGGAAGACTCCCGCCTGCACCTCCTAGGCCCTCTCACCAGGTAGACAGGGGAGCTCCAGGCGGCCTGGCTGCGCAGCTTCAAGCAGAGGCTTCCTCCATCCTCGGTCCCTGATCACCTGCTCCGCGCCAGTGCGGTGTAGGCAGCAGTGAGGACCCTGCCATCCGCCCCCCCCCCCGCCCGCCCACAGTCCAAACGGGGCGCGGCGCGAACTCCCGGGCCCCGGAGCACCCGACCTCGGCGAGACCGGGTCCCATGCGAGACCCCTCGAGCCGCCAGAGGCTTAGACCAAACTCCGCTGCGACGCCGCACCGTCCTCGGTCTGCTCCTTGGGAGCAGACGGGGGCGTCGTTGGAGCCCTCGCCAGAGATTCTGGGGAGCTCCGAGCTCCTGGGTCCGCGGCTGGCGCTGAGGCGCCTCGGGGAGAGCGGAAGGCCCGCCCCTCCGCGCTGGGCGGGCACCCAGGCGAGGCGCTGCTGAGGGGCGGGAGGCGCAGAGCGTCCATCCCGGGGAGCCCCCAGCGCCCGGCCTCTCTGTGCCTCCAGGAGCTGCGGTGCTCAGGAGCCTGAACGAGGATGGCGCCGCCCTGGTTCCCAGCTGATGGCCCGAGGACAGCACCTGTTTGACCAGGGTTTAGTTCAGTTTCTGGTGCAGCTTGGGTGCCCATGGGGTCCCCTCCGCACAGGGTGCGCGTACCCGAGGTGCACAGCGACCTTATTGGGTTGCTGTCACTGGGACGGGTTGGCCTACCCCGCGGGGCGCCTGCTCCACCGCGCTGAGCTGGGAACCCCCAGCACCGCTCCTGCGCTCGGCTCAGACAAACCATACGTTCCCGCGGCGCCTGGGACTGGACAACCGATCCTCCCGGCCCAGCGCCCCAACGCGGCTCCAGAAAGGCGGCGCTGAAGCGCCCTCTTCCGGGCCCTCGGGTCTCCGCGACCTCTCACCCCTGGGCCTGAACACCAGACCTCACTCCTCTGCCTTCCCTACCGCCTGCACCGCCCGATTCACAGAAACTTTTTCATCTTTTCTCATCTTTATATTTACTTTCCCTTCTCTCCTTTCCCCGGCCTCCTTTCCTTATTCCCTTCCCTGTCTGAGCTTTTCTTCCTACTTCGCAATCACTATTACAGATTTGGCCCTTGTTTACGCCTGTGGTTTCTTACACCAGAAAAATAATGAGAGATTTATACACCCGTGTCCGATTTATTTCACTTAAGAGTACAGTCTCAAGGTTCATTCATTCCCTATAAATGTCTCGTGGGTTTCCTTCTTTCTGCAAAGTAGTACTCCATTTTATAAAAAACAAGCAAGCAAATAAACAAAAACCGGCCTTCTTTAGCCATTTATCCGTTGATGGGCATTTGGGCTGTTTTCCGAGGTTTGGCTCTTACACGATAAATACTATGTCACTATAAACGAGTGTGCATATTTCACTGTGGTATGAACTTTTTAATTCTTTTGGCAAAATACCCAGGCAGCAATAACTGGGTCAAATGGAATGTCTAATCCTAGCTTGGAGGAATCTCCACACTGATTCCACAGTGGCTGCACCACTCGACACTCTCACCAACAGTGGAGAAGGGTTTCTCTCTTCCTGCTGCCCTGCCAGCATTTGCTATTGGTTCATTTCTTGATCACAGCCATTCTTTTTGGGATGAAATGGAATCTCAGTGTTGTTTTAACTCGCATCTCCTGAATGGTTGGGAGCCATTAGGCTGGAAATTGACCACACATGCAAGGCTGGGGCATGGCCAGCCCAAGAACAAAACGTGCCTAGGGTAAACCATGTGAAGAAGCAGCTTCAGCCCAGAGAACACCTGGCCCCAAGACCACCCAGACAGTGGGTTGCTGGACCAACAAGGTGTCAGGTGACATGAGGTTGATAAAAGATATAAATAAATGCCCCTGCAGTGAGGGGCCAGTTCTGTTATAGGCTGCTGAGTTAGGTAGAAATATTATAGGCAGACAAGGCTGAATTCTCGAAGGAGCTAGTGCATAAGGTAGATACCCTGCAACCTGGGAGGATACAGGCACTTCTGCTGTGGGCCAGATCTCAAGACAAACACAAAACAAATGCAACCACACCTTAAGTATAAACACCATGGATTTACATTATAAATTGGTATGGATCAGATTGAGGAAACCAGGAGTCTCTGTCCTGACTCTCTACAGAGTCACTGCTTTTTAAGCATGCCGGCTTGCTACATGACTCACTTGGCCATTTGTTCCCATTTGGTCAGTGTTACCTAGATAAATAATCTTATTGCTTGACCATCATTCTACTCCATCTTATGCCCACCTGCCTTGCCAATTCCAATGTTTTCTCTACCTTGGACTCTTCTCACCACATGGTTTTGCTCAATAAAGTTCCCTAGAAAAGACAGTGTTTGGCAACCCACTCAGGACCCCTTCTGTCTCTCTGCCAGACAAAAGCTTTCTTTCTCTCAATAATATATTCTGCTCTTAACCTCTGTTGTTCCTAAAATTCATTCTTGGGTTTTAGGGAACACAAACTTGTACCAGACATCTAGTAGGTTGGGAGTTTCATTCCTCAGTATCCCATCAGGAGGATAAGGGTTCCATCAGAACCAGCTTCATCTCTTCTTTGTTTTTCTCATCCTTCCCGCATCCTTCCCCCTCAGAAAACATCTGGAGCTGTGTGAGTCATGGTGTATTGGTGCCTAAACTTGGACTGGGGTAAGAAGAAATAGTGGATGGGGAGACACTTCTCATTTGTGCGTGACAAGGGGGAGAAGTGCATTGTTAGTGATCGGTATTCATCACTGGAGTGAACTGATGTTGACTTCATCAGGTGTTAAGCTTGGAGCATTGAAAAACGGATTCACTAGAGCTAGAGAGAAATAGGCTTAGGAGAGGACCAAAGAGACAAATAGGGTTACGAGAAGCCAAAGATGGGTAAACAGGTTCGAGATGAGCCAAAGAGAGAGAAATGTTTGCAGCTGTATATAGATGTGTGTGTGTATATATATATATATGTAATATTTGTTTTGTGCTTGATTCCTGCATTTATGTTTCTTTTGTGGATTTTGATCAGGAACTATCCTGGTAATTGTGGGCTTGTTGGGACAGCCACAAGAAAATCTGCTTGGAGTGATATTTTAAAATTGAGTCCTGAGCAAGAGAAAGATGGCAGAACAATAGAAAATTTGATAGAATTTAAGATTTCTGGCTTTGCTCAATTAGATAAGAAAGAGAGGGGGATAACTCTTGCCTGAAAGAGGAGTGCGTTGCTGTGATTTCTATTTTACAACACTCAGTGTCTTGAATTGAGTGACACTCTGCTATCTCCACCTTTTCAGTTCAGAGAAATTTTGCTGTGCCGCAGGTTAAAAATTCCATCTCTTAGAGAGCAGAGCAGTTTTCTCTGTCTTCCTTGCAGTTGACTCTAAAAGAAGCCAGAGTGGCAGGGCAGTACTGGGAGCAGTTTCAAGTTATTAGTTGGTTACTAAACTTTGAATCCACAATAGTCTGAGGCAAGTTATCATCACTCAGATCATCAGTTCAATCCTAAAGGAAGGGGAAAGAACAAAGCTTGTTGTTTCCACTTTGGGTGGGGATTTTTCCAAAATTGTGCTGCTGCAACTGGGGGCAACAGAGCCACTATGTGTCACTTCAACAAAACCTTCTACTGTCTGTGCACAGAGTAGACAGTGATATTGCTGGGCCAGTTGGTGTAAATTTAAAGCTGATGTGGAAGGCCTGCTTGTTCCAGAAAAACTTCTAGAGGGGCCCACCTCCACTCCATCAAACAGTGAGGGAACTTTCCTCCGTTCCTCCCCTGCCTGTTTGCCTTGGGTTTTATAAAATCTCTAAAATGACAGATTGGAAGGGAATAGCTAACACATGTTTAAGTCTAGGGAATAATTTGTTGTGCATGGAAAAATTTTTGAATTCTGCACAGACAAGGCCTCTGGCAATGCTGTGCAAAATGTAGCCATTACAAAAGATACGTTAATCAGAGAAGATGCCTTTGACACTGTTTTGATACATGAATATTTGATCAGAATATCTGATTAGAATAGCAGCCACAAGGTCATGGAGGGAGCTTCCTTCATCACATAGAAGGTCCATTGATTTGCTTTCTAGTCAGCAAGATCCAGATAAACCATTTCAGGGTTTTACTTTTAAAATTGCAATAAATGGTGTAAGACACTGAGAATTTCCCTGTAGCAGCCTGGCCTGGCCTGGTTTGGTGAGGTGGGACCTGCACCTTGGAGTTTGGGTTTGTAACCCTGCCTCCCCTGTGCTGAGAAGCAAATTACATCAAGGCCTGCCTCAGTTTTCAACAGCTGGACCACTGGTGGCACTGTAGCACTCATCCAGGACCCAAGAGGGCAGGACAGGGCTCCCGAAAAGCTGTACATTGCCCTGGAGTGCCATACCCTCCCTAAGTTTTCCCATCACCAGCACCTGAGCTTTATGCATCAGTTTACTAGGTCCCAGCACTGCCCACGCTCAGATCCCCAACAACAGCAGGGCCTCCAGGCCAGAATAGGAACATAAACTCCGGAATAGGGGCACTGGAGGCAACAGTGTCTGTGCCTGTGCTCCATGGTGGCCTGAAATCTCTCTATGCACACCAGCCAGCCATGTCCACTACTTCCAGGCAGGGACACAGGAGCCACTGCCTGCAGTGAAACCTTACAAAAGGGTAAGGAGAGGCCAAAGTGCCTCAATTCAAAATGCAGGGTTCCCCCCTCCCTGTACTGTACCCCCCCAAAATTCCTTATACTCCTCAGGTCTAAAAGTAGTTAAATGTACTCACAATTTAAATTTCAAAAACAAAACAGGGACTTCACCTCATAAGTTTCATTTGGCAGTTAGACTATTTAAAGATTTTTAAATTCTAACAAAAATTCAACTACCAGAGCAGAAAGATAATGCAATCAGATAAAAGCTATAAAGAGTCTTTGATAAAGATCTTCATACTTCAATCAAAGCTCCCAGTCCAGTGCTAATTTGGGGTTGAGGGTATGCTTATGTTTTTCAGAAGGGGTGCCATGTGTGTTGTCTGGCTGCATCAGGGACACAAACTTGGAGAAGGGGTTGATTTCACCCCTCAAAAACAAAATTGCTCAGTCCTATGGCAGTGATGCCACAGAGATCACTCATCCCATAAAAGGATGAAGCTAAAACCAACCTTAATTTCCCTAGCATGCCCAGCAGATGCTAACTAAAATCAAAACCAAAGGTCTAAATAGGTGATGAGTATATAGAGATAATTAAACTGAAAATTTAATGAAAATAGAGGACAAAAAAGTTACTAGCATTCTTAAGAGAAAATAGAAAAATATGTGTTAATTATAGAGAAGATTTTGTCCTTTTCTAAATCCTTTTTACAAGAAATCTCTAATTGACCTAAAACAATTCTACCAAGCTGTAGTCATAAATTCTAAATTTGTAAAAATAAATTATAGCAATTCAATTTGGATAAAAAAATTGAATGCACTCTGATTTTGTAAGATATTTGTGATTGAGAATTTTTGGGAATCCATCTAAAGGCACAGAAATAATGAAGAGAAAGACAAACAACAGAAAGAACTTTAATGTAGGCACGGGAGAGACACATTCACTAATAATGCAGGTGTTCTCTCTCTGGACAAAGCATTGGGGATTCCTTATAAAGATTAGCTTTTTGGGGAGGAGTCTGGTTAGTTGACAGTGATGGATAATCACTATTTGTTAGTGTGCTCAGGATGAGTATCGAGGAATCTTCGGTATATGTGGCACATGATGCAACCGACAAGCCAATGGGTTACAATTGCTAGAACTTAGAAGCAGTTTAAAAATGTAACTGTCAGTCCTACTTCTTATGCTTTGATTATGCATGCCTTTGTATATATACTTCAGTTATGCATGCTTTGATTAAAAATCTTGTCTTTGGGAAGAATATTTTACTGCTTCTTGTATAATTCTCTTAATTAAAATTATTTTGATGTAACAGAACATATTGTTGGATACATAGCAAAGATTTGATGCATCATGATGCTTATAACTCTTATTACCATAGTGCTTTTTATATTGGTAAAAACAATTTTTCTTGATTGCTTATTCAAGGACCGTGTACATAGCATTCATATGTCCACAGGGTAATTTCCACCTGCCTGTAAACCAATGACATTATGCTAGGCATGAACAGTGGTAGGGATTCCATTGTACCTGATCACAAATAGATGCTCGTGATTGAGCCTAAGAAAGAAGCTGAGAGAAATAACAGCTGGTATCTGTTAAACACCAGCTGATGTGGTTTTTTCCACAAAGCTAAATCATTCAACAGTCCTGTGAAGATTCTTTGCTTTCCCTACCCTATTTCAACAGTCAAAGCCTGATCATGAGGGGTTTCTCAGAGAGAGTATTCTATAGAAGTTCTTATTTACAGAATTTTTCAGCTCCTTATTCCTGAGGATGAAAATGATTGGGCTGAGGAAGGGGCTGAAAACTTCATAGGTAGTGGACATCAGAGTATTGGTATACACATGCTGGGGCCTCTTCGGCTTGAAGTAGATCATGGAGGCAAAGCTATAATACATAATCACCATGGTGAGGTGAGATACACAGGTGGAGAAGGACTTGTGCTGGCCCTCAGGAGAGGGAATCCTCAAGATGGCAGCCACAATGAATACATAGGAGAGGATGATGAGGGATAAACAGACTATCAGGGGTATGACACACTCTCTATAGTGACAGAGCCCATCTCGTCGCCACAAGCCAGCTTCAAGAGGGAAAACACATGACAAAGAATGTAGTGGATCACATGAGACTCACAGAAGGTGAGGGAGAAAACTATTGATGTCATTATCATCCCCGTAACTGAGGCACCAGCCCAGGACCAGGTCACAAGGTGGGCACAAACAGTGGGGCTCATGAGCACACTGTAGTGCAGTGGATGGCAAATGGCCACATAGCGGTCATAACTCCTGACCATGAGTAAGAAGGAGTGGGCATAGCCAAACGTGAAGCAGAAGAAGGTCTGAATAGCACAGGCCACAAAGGTGATGGATTGATGGATAGAGAGCAGGTCAGCCACATGCGTGGTGTGATGGCAATGGTGAACAGGATCTCAGAGATGGAGAGGGCACACAGAAAGAGGTACATGGGTGTGTGGAGCTGGTGTTTGGTCCACAAGGTAGCCATGATGAGCAGGTTCCCCAGCAGTGTGAACAGGTACATCAGAAGGTGGAGCAGGAAGAGGGCAGGCAGCAGCTGGTGCGGAAAGGCTGAGAAGCTGAAAAGGATAAATCCCGATGTTGTGCTGTAATTCTGACCAGGCATGGTGCTGTATATGGAGAGATCAGGAGGGGGAGCGGGGCACTGTGGTGAAACCTTAAGCTCTGCCACAGTTCAAATGGCAATTTAAGAACTCTGCACTGTTGGACAGCTGTTGAACATTATGGTCTCATTTCCAACATCTGTAAAATAATGGTTCATACCATCCTGCATTGTTGTGTAGATAAAATAAAAAAGGTACATTTAAAATTTAAGGCAGACTTTAGCTAGTTATTGTTTATTAGCATGACAACTGTAAAGGAAAATGTCTGCATTTGAAATGTCTGAGGACAGGCTGGGATGACTAGGGTTTGATATACTTGACTGTGTGTTGGTTCTAGAAAATATATGTTTGGGTAGACTTCTTAAAGTTTTTTGTCCTCTCTGAAAATTTTTGTCTTTTAATTGATTAACTGCTTTCTTCTTCTTTTTATTGTGTATTATCAGTATTCACATCTTCCCACATGTTTATTGTTCTTAAAATAAAACTGATGAAAATGCCTTAATACAGAAGAGAGATGGATGCTAAGAACAATTCACCATGTGAGCATTCACACAGAAATCTTAACAGGTAGAAATGCAAGGAAAAAGTTGACCATTTGTCCCTGTGACCATTGAGAAGAACTAGAGTTTTCTATGGCGATGTCTGCTTCACATTCTGAATATGGAAGCAAATCTTGGTCCTCTTGTACTAGGGAAAAAGGAAGTTTCTGAGTCATGGGACAGTGGCAAAACAGTGTAGGAAACTGATTATAAAGAAGTCTATTGACCAAAATTGTGACAAGCAGAAAACCAAAAGTAATAAACTGTGGACAGCAGGTGTAGGAAAAAGCTAGTTTATACCACTAAAAAATAATCAGCTAAATCAAGAAGGTGCAACACTTTATTGACTGTTCACCTGGTTTCCTCAATGTACTGAGGACATTAACACAAAGGACAAACTAAGCAAATGAAATTTAGAGTACTGGGTTGGTTCTCACCTGCATAACACAGCTTGAATATATTTCAATGGCAGTAGAGACAACTTTAGGTGATATTCAGAAATAAACCCATTTTAAATTTTGTGTTTTCATTTTTGATATGAAGGAAAGTGTTTATAGTTTCTAAATGTAGATTCAAATTTTGAAAATTGCAACAGTTGCAAAGACGCAACCAACTGTATTTACACTGTTTAGAATGGCATTGTAGAACAAACAGAAAATCACAAAGCTCTATGGCAACAGGTTTTCTGAAATGTCAAGGAATAAATAATCAAAACATCTTCAGCAATATGGAAATATCTGTCAAAAATTAATAGATGATTTTAATTAAATTTTAATGTGAAATTCAGAAATGTAGTTTATCAATTATTGCTAGGCAGCTGATAGTATTCAGATTTTAGCAAATAAATGTATTTATATATTTTTATATAAATACTTTTATAATGATAAATATTTTTATAAAGCACTTTGTTTACAGTGCAGTTGATAAAATATGAGTTCTTACATTCTAGGCCATTCTTACCTACAGTTCCAGGCCCAAAATATTAATTCTTTCCCAGAAAATATGCACCTGTTGCAAAGATGAGACTTGTTTTAGCAGTCTTCCAATAATTTCAAAGTAGAACTATTATATAGATTGCACGGTAACAATGTTAGAAGTCAGAGGACCATATGCTTTCACTACAAAAATGTATTACTGTTTTAAGCAGCAAAGATAAACTGAATTAAGAAATTTATATAATCAAATGATAATTTAAGTACTGAAAGTCCAAATTTTAGTCTGGACCTATAGTTTGAGTGAGATACAGAAGTTTCAAAATATTTATCAGGACACTTCAAGAAAAAAAGTACCAATATGTAATTAAACCAAAATGAAGTTATTGATGATTAACAAGGTGAGAACTAACTAGAAGAATGTGCCACTAGCAAAATGCAAAATAAAAATGGAAATAATTAGAATCCTCACACATATTTTAAAAATAAACAGAAATAAAATTATTATTTAATAAGTTATAGTCAATAGATAATTTCTTAGAAATATGCAAGTCTGGTACAAGAAAAAAAGGGTCATATAGACTGAAATAGGCTGTCAGAATATCAAAATGCCATTAAAGATCTTCCCTGCCTAAAATCATCCCTCCAGTAAATTTTCAAGTGAATCCACTGACTTTTAGGATAGGTGATTAGTGTCTTCTACACGTTCCTCAAATGAGTGAAAGAGAGAGGGGAAACCTGCACAGCTCATTTCATCAGGGTAGTGAAATCTTTCTAAACCAGGTGAGAATGTTTGCAAGGAAAGGTAATTCCACTTCACCTATACATGCACATTTTAAAACCTAAGATAAACATAACCTACTGAAAGACAAGGAAGACTAGAAAAGAGTTTGTCATAATTCACCAGTGTTGGTGTATCTCATCCCTGACAATAGTGTTCTGGCATCTGAAACCTATCGTGGGTTTATAACAACAATTAAGCAGAAAATTTACACTCCTTCTAATCCTGGCAGAAGTCTGTCTTCTAAAATTCTTTTTCTATGAATTTTCTATAAAGCCTCTTCAGAAAACAAATCAGAAAGGAGACAGTTATCTCAATGAAGCATGTACACCATGAAACTGGTGCACAGGACCCTGCATGGAGCACCTGTGGATCTGTTATCTTAGGGTCGTGAGCAAGGCAAGTGCATTGATTGTTTGCAGATCTTCTACGTGAAACTGAAAGTCATGAGTGCCTCCTGAAGGCAAGAAAAGGACATGGGTAGGTAAGGATTGGAAGCTGAGACACAGGGCCATTGGCTAGAAAAGATGAGAGAATCATAATGCAACTCACTAGAACAACAAGGAGCACAGTGCTACTCAAGACAAGATCAAATGGCAAGAAAATGATGTTTCTCACAGTTTTATGTGAGGTTTTACTGTTCAAAATACATCATGTATATAAAGACAGGAATTCCCGAATAAAAATATAAATTAGAGAGAAACTGCTTCCAAACAGGTTTCTTGGTTCCTTCATGTTCAACAAGTAGGAGAACTCTCAGTACTTTTGTTTAAGTTGATTAAATCAGTGGTTTTGACCATATTGAAAATTAAAATGTAGAATACCTTGAAATCAGTCAACATTTTTGCTCATATGTCTCCTTTCTATTTGAAGGTGACAGCTAGATGCATCTATCTTCTTCTCCATGCAGTCTGAGGACGATGTTGGATATTAATTGAAGAAAATACCTCCTCAGGTTTTACTGGAAATTAAGGGACTCACACACACCCAGGAAGTCTCACAAATCCCCAGTGGGCTGCAGCACACTTCTAAAGAGTGCTGGAATACTTAGGATTTCACTGAAAATCAGCAAAACTTTCAAAGAGGAAAATTTTAAACATTAATATATTTCAGATGACCTGAGTACACCTGCAAATTGAATCAGATGTTCTCAATTTGAAAATATTCCAAATATTTAAAATACCACAAATTACTAGAATTTTATTCACAAAATAAAAGTGTAGGGTCAGGGATTTAACTCAGTGGTATAAGGGACTACATGGCAGGCATGAGTTCAATTCCTGGTACCAAAAAAAGGTGTAATAGTCTATGTAATACTCTATTAATCTCCAAAAATCTGATTTAAAGATGGATACTCTCATCACCCAGATGAGGGTACACACTAGAAAGTTATAGTCACTTTTACAAGCATGATCCTAACAGCATGGAAACAAATAAAATTATACGAAATTTCAAAATGTACTTTCTTGATGTACTGTTAGACTGAAAGACAGGATAAATCAGACAACACAAATCAAGGTGAAGAAGCAGACTGTTCACTTGTTGGCAGGAAACCTATCTTATTCTGAAGCCTAGTAAATCTGATTTTGTCAGAGAGAATACTGCATTGGGATCTGAATGCCCCCAATATAGAAAAATTAAATTCAAAACTCTAAAGTACAGTATGCAGGAATTCTTTGAGAATAACTTTGTGATCGGTGATTGAGAAAGACTTCAATATGCAGGAAAAAATGCCAAGATGATTGCAAAAAAGACATTATAAATTATGATAAATAAAAGATATCTTACATCATGGAAAAATTCAGATTGAAAACTGGGAAATATTTGCATTTTTCAAAATTGGCAAGGAAGTAATACGTAGAACAAAAAACTTATGCATCGAGAAGTTTGAACCTCAGTGCCAAAACTGAGCTCAGATTATTTTGAAAATAATATGAGCCATTACTGAGTTCCTATTATCCTGTTTTGAAATCCTGCATCACTCTCACTGTTTTGTTTTGATTGGTTTTATTCTGTTTGGTTTTATTCTCTTTAAAATAAAATGTTAAAAGTTAAAATAAAATGTTAAAAAATGACCTCAGTATATGACTAGAAAATTGAAGAACATGTTAGGCAAATGAAAGAATCTAAAGAAAGGGGAAAGAAGAAGGAATGAAGGGAATAAAGAAAAAAGAAAGGAAAGAAGGAAGGAATATGAAAAATAACAATTGAATTTTACCACTTATAAACATCTCTCAAAGTAGGAAATTCCCCAAGTTGATTGGACTATGAGGAATAAAGAAACCGTGCACACTGCTGAATGAGTAAAGGTTGTGAAATTAAGAATTGACATGTGTACATATTTTGCACCATCAAACTTGCTCCTGGATGTTTATGGCAGTTTCTCAAATCTGGCTCTAGGATGCTATGTAAGAGAACATTCCCTGTTATATTTCTTTTAATGAAGAAAGTGAACAAGCTCCACCTATGTCCAAGGAAAAGGTAAGAAAGAAGAAATTGGGGCAGCACACGCACACACACACACACACACACACACACACACACACACACACACACTCCCAGGCAGAAGTCTGACATGCATGTAGCAATGTCAGAGACTTGTATAAATGATATAAAGTGAATAAACAAAAGGCCAGGATAAACTCAAGCCTTGCACCCCAATATAGAGAAGTATATGAAACACACAAGTACCACACATAAAACTTGTCTCTAGCATCAAGTAATGACAATCAGGGATGCTAAGCAGGGGA